AATCTAGCCTCTCAAAACTCATACTCTTATGATGTAAATTATTGCATAGATTGACTCGAATTCAACTCTTTTTCCTATTCCTTCTTCCATATCAAGTTTCTACGAGGAATTCATGGGGGGCGTAACGATGATTAACCGGTGGAATTATCTGTTGATCAACGGAATGTCGAATGCATTCACTGGCTGGGGTGGTGAAGATGACGATTTTGCGTTACGCCACGGGTTAGCCAACGTGACCCGGAATCAGGTGTCTGACGATATAGGACGCTTTTATAGCCTGGAACATTCAGACGACCGCGTCTATGACACGGAACGTTTTTCTAAGCTGGAACCTCCTGAAGTTCGCAATAGGATGCTTCGAGATGGTCTTATGCAAGTCACCTATACCCTTCTGAATGTTCGCGAGTATCCACTTTACACACTTTATCGGTTTGATTTGTAGAAATCAGTTGTCCCACCCCACCTCATATCTCATACCAGCCAACTTTCATGTTATACGAACTCATATAGGTACATTCTACCTCCTTTCTTGAGCTCAAGCCAAAATCCTACCTCCATCTATCGAATTGCCTTCCACCCTCAGCCCCTCTCTGCTTATAAAACGATATAGTTCAAGGACTCACGACCTTTCTGGTACACCTCTCGCCTTAGCAACTCTCTTTAGGCAGAAGTGCCATTACATACACATATCTTTGGCTTGATCCCTATAATCTTCCCAGAAGGTGTGCATAGTCCCATACACCTGTCTGTAATTAAATTAAGCAGCCATTTTAAAACTTTTTTATTTGGATCCCCTTCGATCCGAGGTGATGCCGATAAAAGTCCGTTCTTTTACCAAGATGCCGTCCATTTTAGATGAGTTATGTTGTTGTGACGAAACATCCACATATTTCTCAATATTTCAGACGCCTCTGCCTGATTTAGTATATTTTAATTACAGTATATTTCACTGTGTCTTATTATCCCACTTCCAAAAATGCCTTTCATGTAAAGTTAGCAGGTAAACAGATCTGCTCACATTCCTTCGCCTCGAATCTCGTTTAGAAATCTCTCTTTACTTTTTTATTGTATTTTCTGGCCGTGATATTGGAAGAAAATAATAATTCCTATTCAATTCATGCTACTTTTGTTATTTTCACAGTGTCTTGCTGCAATATGTTATCACAACGCAAAAATGGGGTTAGTTACCGTGTCTGTTTTTAGGCAATATTCTGTCTCCGAAAGTTGACGGTTAGTATGGATAGCTTTTCAGCGGTGGCTTAGCCTCTGTCTGCAGGCTAACTTCAAGCTTTAACTTATCGAAGGCGGTAAGCGCCTTATTGGAGATTTTGTAGCGC